CTCTCCAGAACTAAACATGTAAATCCAATCTAAGAAACAATTATTAAATTGCAAAGATTGAAATGCACAAGAAAGACATAGTCTAACAGAATCAAAATCCAATCTAAGAAACAATTGTTAAATTACAAAGATTGAAATGCACAAGAAAGACATAATCTGAAAGAATAAAAAATATTTGAATAAGATTGGAATCCAAATCGAAGAGATCGATAATCACCAAAATCATGTGATCAAGAGGTGCAGTCACTACATAAGAAAAACTCTATCCTTCATCAATTAGGTAACACTCAATTCTTTTATCCACTCGTTAACAACCAAACGATTATATTTTTTCTATAAAACTTCCCAATAATTACAATCTAAACCCGCTCATAGTCTCACAAAATATGTAGTTAAAAACTCAATTTTCTTTATTCAAACCCAATTTTTGAGCAGGTCTGATCAATGTCTGTTCAACTCAATTGATTAACTCAGACCGAATACCCACCAAATCCTCGGTTCAATGTTTAGAATCGGTCGGTCCGTATACTTTAAAAACACTCTATTATATGGTGATAGATAATTGGCAGGCATGGTGGATAGGAAAACTCGTGAAACCAATGCGTTGGGATTTTCAGCTGCATATCTTCATGGGACAAGATTCAGAGAGCCAGCGTATTTCACAGCTGCCATACATTTCTGGACCAGTCTTTCATGGGAACAGTAAGGACAGTCCCATATATAGAATAAAAGATCCAATAATGAAGGATGGCTTGACAAATATGACAGCGCTGTAACTTGGTTAATCAATGGGATGGCACTATGGCAGGTGGACCCTAATGTCAGAGCCTTACCTGGTATTCGAAAATGATAGACACTGGCGACCGCCTGGACAAAAGGAACAGCTGAACAAGTGGTGGTGGAATGTCCAATGAGCAGACAGTGGTCTGTGGAGGTATCAAAATAGGTTATTTAAACGAATTTAAATGGTTATAATTTAATTTTTTATTTTTTTACATATTGTCTGATAAAAAATAATAATATTTTATTATTATTAGATTGATAATAAATTCAAATTTATTTGTTTAATACTTGAGTTTAAATATATAATTATTTTAAATGGGTATAAATAAGTGATTCGAGTTAATCCACTGCCTACTAATTAAATGAGTTTAATTTCATGCCCATTTAGACTTATTTAAAATTAGTGGGTGGGTTTGAACGAGTTATTGAAGCGTGAGTTTGGGTGAATCAACATAATTAAGTTTGTGATTGACACTCTAAATTAGAGGTGGCAAAATGGGCGGGATGGGCGGAATTTGCTTGGATTCGAAATGGAACCGAATCATATGGGTATGGACCTAACCTTGCCCATATGTGTTTTGGAACTAACTTGGGCGGGATCACATTGAGATAGGTTTAGATTGATCCCGCCCAATACCCAAATCTATTTTCTATATTTTTTTCCCTTTAATTCTTTTTTATTTTTTATATAACTTTAATATTTTTATTTATTAAATTTCTTTTGATCTTATTGTGAATTTATATTTTCCTGAATTCATTTACACTCTAAAACGATCAACAGTTACTTTTAAAAGACATAACATTTTGGTAAGAATGAACATATCTTCTCCCTGGATTAAACCAAAAATTGGATTAACAAATAAAGAAAAAGATAGATATACAGCCATATTCCAACCTTACCCATAATGTTGTCTGACACAAGGACTAGAAACAAGATTTTTTAACACCAAATTCATTCTTACTGACATTCTTAAAATTTCCAAATTTTGATACAAAAGAAATTCACATTAAATGCTGAATAAAGCTAGCACAGAAACGAAGAAACTGATTAAAAATTGATAACAAGGTTGCATATAGAAATCTATATAGATAGCTCAACAATTAGCATAAAATCAACATAAAGGATGCTAACAGTTGTTAGTAAAGCATTAATTCTTGTAGACACCAAAATTTTACCAATTCATTTTATTGTTATTGTTATCTTTATTTTTTTAAAGTTGTTTAAATGAAATCATTTTTACTTAACTGGTTTTCTTTTGTAGGAAAGTGAAGAAAGGAAAAGAAAGAAAATGGAAGTGAAAAAAAATCAGATTTTTGCCAAAAAAAAAATCAAAGATGAATTTTTGGATAAATGAAATTTTTTGGGAAGATATTTAGGCCCAATGGGTACCCAAGTATTTCCCAACATTTTCCATCAAATAATGGTATAATTGGGATGCATCCCATTTTAAACCCAATATCAAATTACAATACCCATCCCGCCCAAAGTTCTTTTGGACATGGGTAGCTCATTGGGACTTGGGACAATTCCCACCTCTAACTCTAATTATAGGATACCCCTCCAAAAGTATTTGAATAAGATCGGAATCCAAATCAAAGAGATGGACAGCCACAATTATGCGATCAAGAAGTCAAGCTACTACATAAGAAAAACTCTGTCCTTTATCAATTAGGAAACACTCAATTCTTTTATCCACTCATGAATCACCAGTTATATCTTTGATTAATTTTTTTTTTGTAGATACGATTTATATTTTTCTGTAAAACTTCCCAAAAATTACAATCTAAACCGGCTCATAGTCTCACGAAACATGTACTTGAAAATCAACTCGTGAATCACCCAGTTATATCTTTGATTATCTGTGGGTACGAAATATGAAGTCAATTAAATGTGCATAAGGATTCATTATAACCGGTGATTCTAAGGATTCATTACTCACATAACTACACACGTGAAAGGACATGATACTAATGATTCATTACTCACATACTAAGGATTCATACTCACATTACTCACTTTAACCTCTTGACTCCTGACCCTAAATTCTATTGAGTCGATGTGTCAGCTTGAATTTCAAAACTCTGCTATGTATTAGTCCAAAAATTGTCTACATATCAATCAATGTATGCACGGATGTTTGCCATTTTACCATAGTGAGAATAAAATGTTTACTTTTTAAGAGGATACATTATTGGTGGAATCAATATATATTTAACTCAAAATAAGAGCTATGCCGATCACAAAATTAATTTTTACTTCTTTTGTCCTACTAAAAGTGTCATTCATTTTTGTATCCTCCACAATGTTCGTCATTTTTAGTATTTGTCTATTCTTAATCATTGTCTTTTTGTGACTGATAGATTATAATGAAGAATTATCAATTGTTTCAACATCCTCCCAGGACTTGCTTAAAGTGACTAATTAGTGACTAATTAGGAAGAGACAAGCACTTGTTCACCAATTAAAAATAGTATTCTAATCCAGGCTCCTGAAAATTGGTCTTCTAAGTAAATTGTTTGAATTGATGCTCTCCTAACAAACCTCCGCTCCAAGAAAAAAAAAATTCTACATTAGGGGATACATTAGCAGAAAATAGGGGAAAAAAAATTGTAGGCTGCAATCTAGTAACATACGTGTTCGAGATGCTCTAAGAAATTGAAGTATATAAAACTTTGATTGTCAAAAGTAGCGCTACTACTCCACGGAGTTTTATTCGAATACAGATAATCAAACATGAGGCACACGAATTTATTGATTTCTAGTATTACACATTCAGACAAGGCGACTTAAGCTAAACAACTAAAATGCTGAAAGCACTTGAGCTCTTGGATATTACTAGATTGAAGAAGTAGATGGAACCAATACAAAGTCCTCTGCCGGGAAGAAATGGCAAACAGGGGCAGTGCCCGGTTCGATACCAAGCACTCGGAAGGAAACGTGATCATGGCTCCATTGGGAGGTATCCATGTGACATCTTGCAGTAGCTTCAACCCTATCACCATTCTCTCCAGATAGAACAGTCCTGTATAAATGATTATCACCCGGCTGATAGTGGCAACCGAAAACTATGAAAGGATATGGCATGCTGTGACAGCCAACCATCTTTAGAGTTGAAATTCGTTTAGGAGCTTCTGTGATTGTATAGTTCTGTAATCTAGCAGCATTAGATTTTACGAGGCGATGCGTTGATAAAACTTCAATATCGGTATTCAATCCCAAGATCTTTCGTGCAAAATCTACCAATGACTCGTAGGATGTGGCACAAGCCTTGGATTCTCCCTTCATAGGCTTAGTCTCGCAAGCTCGGAGTGTATGTTCCATCACTTGGGCTTTGCGAGATCCTTGAGGGAATGAAAAGTGTTGAAGAATCTGTGGGAGTTTTGCCAATGAAAAGGGGATAGCATCGGCTTGTTCTCTAGGCCAGAGATAAGGAGAGGACAAAGGACTAGGATCTCCGTCAGGGAAAAGGATACTCAATGTTTTGCCTAACTTGAGATCATCTAAAACGAAAAACACGGTTGCTCTTGGATCCATCTGATGCATCATGTGGGATGAGGAAAGAGAAGGATCGTGCATTGACTTCTTTTCATGGACGTGAGCAACATGATGTGTCTTATCATTTCGATGAGGATTATTAGCATCCATGCCCTGGAGCCTGATTGCATTAGTACCACTATCCTTGGCCTTGGGTATGATATCACAGGCTCCCTGTACAGGTTGTATAGTGTTGTAAGACAGCGAGAATTAAGTCCACAGCATATAAATCACAAAAAACAATTTATTGTCAAAGTAACTTACCAGGACAATCAACAGATGAAGGAGGAGAACACAAGAAACAAGTGCTTTGGAATCCATCAGTTGGTAGGTATTATTTCCCTTGCAAGTCCTCTTTTGAAGGTTTTCACAAGACAAGAAGCAAATAATACATATATATGGATACAATGAAGCGTGCTCGAGGAACTGATTCTTCTTTAACATATTATAATTACAATTTTACCCCTTGAAAATTACATCTTTGTTTTCTAATGTAATGTCTCATCTTGGCCTATGTTTTTAAAATGAGTTTTTTTGGAAAACTAGTTTTTATATTTGGAATCTATAGTAACAAGCTCCAAAAATAGTCTCAAAATCACTACAAATACACACGATCTCAAATACACCTAACAAAAAATATATATATATAAAAGAAGAAACTACCAGCCATTTCTTCTTCCATTCACTGCCTATCACCATCCGCTGCCACCAGCACTTCCCTTTCTTCACTGCCACCACCATTCCTCCCCCTTCCCTCCTGACTCCCCTTCTCCCTCCCTCCTTTCCTCCCCTTCCCTCCCTCCACAAGAAAGCAAGTGGTACACCTATGAGTCATTGCATCAATTCCACGGCCTCCGTATGGATCCGCATTCAATATGGATCAATCTTTTTTTTTTTTCTAATTTTTATAGATAATATGGTGGATCAATCTGGAATTTATTCTTTTTGAGTAAAATGCACAAAACTTTCCTATGATTTGCACGTTATTGAACCCCCTTCTCATTCAAAAATATCCAAAAGACTTTATTGGTTTAAACTGATAGGTAAGGTGGATGAAAACCGTCTATATTGATATAAAGAAAAGTTTGAAATTCCCATACTACCTTTACTTTTAGGTAATAAAGGTTAATTAAGGGGCTTAATTATAAAACCATCTCTATTAGGGTTCTTTACCACCACTTCTTCTGTTAATGTGATTGAATAAAATCGGGCTATGCATTTATACCAAAATAATGACTTGTAAATTTTCAAAATAGTGACACTTTTTATTCATCATTAATTACAATGTGAATATCTCTATGAACTAAGTTGAGTCTTGAAAACACTGGCAATGTACTGTTATTTGAAATCGACGGATGATTTTAGGAAAATGCAAAATTTTTGGTAATTTGTGGATTGGTGTACGAAGGCAGCAACTTCTCAAATCGAACCAACCAGCCACGTGATTGATAAAAACAAAAAAACAAAAAAAGAGAAATAGTAATTGTAAAGGAAGCTGCGACAAGAAATATAACCTTTGTTTTGTCGCTTATGTGATCTGCACATTCAATGCACCAAATTAAATCGAATGAACCATCTTCAAATGGCTGATTCAATGCATCTTCCACTTCAAAGGAAACCTGCTATGTACGTTTTAGCAGCTGTTAGGAAAAGAAAGCAGCACTACTATATATCTGCATAATGATTTTGCATCTTTTTCTTTCTTACTTCTCTTTCTAGCATTGTGGTGGCTTTTACTTGGAATTTGGAGTAAAGTTCCGAGTCATTCTACAAAGTTTATTTGAAATGTGACTTGATCTGAATTTAAAACTTGGCATAATCAATAATATATTGTTAATCTTCTCTATACTGACATGCATAATAATTAATCTTAATTTGAATTTCATCTAAATCTAATAGTGTATAAATTATTAGTTATTGCATAGAAGATTAATTCTACATACATACATCTATATACATACACACATATATGTGTATATATATATATATATATATATATATATATATATATATATATATATATATGCATGTATATGTGCATGTGTGTGCATGTTGTGTGTGTGTATGTATGTATATGTATATGTACATGTATATATATATATATGTATGTATATATACACATACACATACACACACGCACATATATATGTATGTATATGTATATGTACACACATACGTATGTATCCAAATTCAAGAGTTAACATCATTACCTAAGCTTATTGATAATACATATTTGAATTCAATTCTATTATGAGATAATTTTATCCCCTAAAATTCAGGATTCAAAAATTTTGCATTTTTAGTGTATAAAAAGTAAAGGTGAGGATGGATAATCAAAACAAAACTATCACAAATTAGGATTCTTGAAACTTTTGAGTATCTGGTTTGCTTTCATGAACACAATTTATTATTTTTTCAAAACCATAGTAGTAGTATGCACTCTGTCATCATTCCTTAAGAAATGGAGGAATGAAAATTTTTACTTATTGTGCACTTGCATAAAAAGAGTGAGCGGCAAGGGTGATTTAACAATTGATAACTTCTTGCAAATCGTTCAAAATTGTAAGACGGAGAGTTCATACAAACCTGGCTTTCTAATCCTTGGGCAGCAGTTAGAACACGAGCTCTTTCAGCCTCAACAGGGCTAAGGGTGATGCCTTTACATTGAGAACCATATTTACTTGCTAGGTACCTGGTGCTGCCACCAATACCGCATCCAACATCAAGTATGTTTCTTGGTTTCTTCGATGGATCCTCTGCATATTATTTCATGATAAATAATGCCCGTTGGTTGACTACTAAACAAAAAAATGAAACAAAAAACGACCAAGTTGGAGAGGAGAAAAAACTAGAAATTATGAGGAGGATGTTTCACTAGGAAAGAAAATAGACACATTGAAAAGCAATCAAACCATTTCTTTTTTCAATGTGTGCATGACCTAAACCCAGAGTATCAATTACAGAAATTGCATATGATTGCCCCAAAAAACAAATTCTATGCTTAATTTATATTCACATTGCATCAGGCTTGTCCAAATTATAGAACTAATCCTGTACTTTGACCAATTTGTAATCTAACCTTTTGAATAGCCAAATACCTAAATCCATTGCAAATGTAGTCAAAGAAAAACTAAAACCACTAAAATGAGGAAAGACCAACAGAAAAAAGAAAAACAAAATGTTGCTTCTGTTTTTATCCTTCCCCAATTGATTATCCCCATTTACATGTGCATGTACTATTGGGTGTAGAATTTGGTACTTCAATTCAAACTAAGGGATTTAAAATTCCTCTTTAGATTGTACGTCGGAAGTTTAAACCCTACATCCAGAACTTATAGTTAAAAAAATTTCAAAAAGTGTGTCAGAGCACCTCTTTGGTTTAGATGAACTTGCTTGCTCTCTAGCCCTTTATACAACGCAGTTGGATTTCTCCCCTATAGGGTAAGATAGTATAGATATTACTGATTGATAAAAAAAAGTTGAAATGGTGTTGTTTGGTCATGAACTAAAAGTTTTATTTTCTTTCTTATGTGTGAAGAAGTATTTGACTTGAAAGGAAATAATAGAATTAAAGTGAGGGCTGCGTTTAATTGCCAATATTGTATTTAAAGTGAGGGCCAGGTATTTGACAAATGTTTTGCTACTGGGGGATTCGACTGTAATCTGATCAAATCACAAGGCATACTTTTTAATTAGGTCAAATCTCAGGAAATATGATTGAAATTGACCCAATTTTGAGTGATACCAATAAAATTATGTGTTGATTTTTCGAAGGTAAGCAATATTTTGTGTTGTTAAGAACAAGATGCATGACTATCGCAATTGGCAGAGAAATCAAGGTTTGTAAAATCAGGATTCCACGTAGGATCGATTTTAGTTTCACAAAATCGGATCGTAGGATCGTAGATCCCACCAAAAGCTCCTAAATTTACTAAATTAATGAAATTGAAATTCATATACCATTTTGTACATCCTAAAAGATATCAAATAAATAAGTTACTCATCAATATATAGCATTTTTTACTTACTATCTGACAAGTAATAAAAAGATGAAGAAGTTACAGCCGACAGCATTTCAAGAATGTTTTGATTGCCAATTGCCAATCACAAAAGATCAATAATATGTTTACAATTTCGAATTAATGAAAAATATGTACGTAGTTGAAGAATGAAATTTTTAGAAAAGTAATATTAATCAAAAAAGGTATATATATGAATATAAAAAAAGGTTATGCGTGTTAGAAGTGCATATACATAATAGGTGTGAATTGAATGTGTTAACGATCAAATATTGAACATTCATTACAAAAACTTAATATATATATATATATATATATATATATATATATATAAAGCTCAAATATTAAATGGGCAGAAAAAGTTCTGGCATTAGATTTCATTTCATCATTTAATTCAAGTATTTAAAACTTCCTGTGGTTTCACTAATTAAAGTTGCCAAATACAAATTTCAATTATTGAGAAAAAAAATAGGAGCACCATCCAACAGAATAGAATTCCTGGTATCATATAATTTCCTACAATGTAAACGAAAAAAGCTTGAGAAAAGGTAAAATTTGTACATTTCGATCCTAATTTCACACGCCATTAATTAGTCACTATTGCATTCATGTTTAAACGCTTACAAAGTAGTATGAGTATGAGAGAGGAAGATGATGATTTTGCTGCTCAGCTTTTCACCCAATGCAGAAGATGAACTTTTTCTGCAATAGCTGTCGACTGTAGCTTGTGGGTTCCTGGTAGAAGCCGCAGCGATTTGTCTTGTGGGTTCTTGGTAAGAGCTGTAGCCGAAGCTTGAGGTGGTTTGATGGTTAAAATTAGGGATTTGATTTGGGCAGCGGAGAGGAGAAGAGAAACGTCAAAGCTCTGCTTGAGGGGAGATGAAGAAGGCCCGAAGCTTTTTGACGGAATCTTTTGACTTTGAGGCAAAATTTGTTAAAACATTGCAACTAAGGCCTGCAATTGAGTGTGAACTTACAAGCCTACCCCAAATGTCGATTTTTACTTGCAAAATGAACCTTGTATTCCACAAATTAGCAAAAAATTGTAGGATCGAAGTAGGATCGTAGGATCGTACGATTCTATGCGATCCTACCGATCCTACCTCGATCCTATATAGATTCAAGGAATTTGCGATTCTGAGTGTGATCCGGATCGATTTTGCCGATCCGGATCATAGGATCGTACGATCCTACGATCCGGATCGCGATTTTAACAACCATGAGAGAAATGCTATTCCATCTTAGATAATTCTTTAATATTAGGTGGCTGTTTAAGATTAGAATAAATTTATATACATTGTAAGTATATATACTGTCAAATTCAAATTTTGCACATGTATTATATATTTAATGGTAATAGTATATACACTGACAGTATTTATAAAATTAATCCTTAAGATTACGACGAAGTATTTCATGTAGTAGAGATTCTGACAAGAGCACTTATTTAGTGTTCAATTTTATCATTTGGGTGCAAGGTTACATAAGTGCCTTTTCTATTAGAAATGTTTTATCAATTTATTTAGTTCAAAGTTCATGATAGGGAGGTTATGTATAACTTTTGAAATCATAGGGGGGTTATGTAAAAAAATGCTAAACTACAGGAGGGTAAAGTGGAATTTATCCTAAATAATTTTCAACTTTACATAAGGGTATTTTTGACATTTTAGGTGACTCCGTTGCGAATGATCATTCCCATCACTTTGACACTTTAATCCAAATCATGAGGGGGTTATGTATAGTTTTTGAAACTATAAGGGGGGTCATGTAAAAAATGCTAAATCCCGGGGGTAAAGTGGAATTTGCCCTTTATTAAACTATCTATACTAATTAGATTCACGTCCAAAACGGGTCGGAGACTATACAAATTGATAGCCGGGGTAGATGACTCAACGAAGTCACAATCGAAATTAATGGGAATTAATCTGCACCCAAGTAAAAAGCTTAGCTCTGCAGCAAAATACAGTTTTGTTTCATAACTACAGCATTTGTACTTAGAGAAGAAAACTCGAGATAAACTGCCAATCCATAACTTAAGAGTGGTGCGTTGAATATACCTGATACAGAGGCAAAACGGAGGGCCGCCTCGATCATGCGAGTCTGAGCAGAATGGACATCAGAACCAGGGACAACGGAGCTAGAGTCATAGAAGCCAACATGAAAGTGATCGCCAACTAGATCCTCTACTATTTTAGATTGGACATCATATGCCATCGCAATTGCCTTGTTCATCTTCTCTGTCTCCACCTTTCCCTCTGTATCCATCTTCTCCCCTCCATTATTGTTGGTTGTACCGCACAATCCTGTTAACCTTACTCAAGTTTTAGTGCCAAACTAATGAAGGACAGAAAGAAAGATGGTTTTTTTTTTTTCAGGGTCACATAATATGCAGGTACTAATTCTTTCCTGCTAGACAGCAAGTGTTCCAGATCTAAGCAAAAGAGAAATCCCATATATTAGCATGCAAACAGCTGCTGGATTTTTCCAATAACGAAGAAAAACAAACGTCTGAAATTGATACCCTAAAATTTTTACAAAAAAAAATCAATTAATGAAGTGGACCACAGAAATTGAGAGCCAGGTATATAATAATTACCTAGCTAGCAAAGAACAAAAGCTTCAACGTGTCCTGAGAAGCAAAGCAGCACGCTAGACAACTTGTGAGAAGAACGAGAGAGAGGGAGAGGGAACAATGTGGCACTGAGTGTATTGCTTTCATTGACTATAAAGGTACTAGCATGATAAAATCTGCTTGTAAATGTGTTCCAATGTATGGGGATATTTATGTAAAACACCTTTGAGGTTTATAACAATTTCATGTTGCTCCATTCAAGTTTTTGAAAGGTTACAATGATCTCCTTTATTTGGACGTCTAGATAATATGTGTCGTTCATATTAAATAAAATTTAATGTCAAGGTATAAGAAGGAATTTACCAAAAGGAGCTCTGTGACCAAAAGGATGCATTTTTTTTTTTATATTTAAGGGACTATTTTAGCTAATTCTAATTGCGAGGGGCTAAAAAATTATCAAAAATGGAAGGAACCAATTTGACAAATTTTCCTTTATTGTAATATTATTTGCATGTGTAATATTAATGGGAAAAAATTTAAACAATCTAAAAAGTTGACCTTACAAAATTGTCCTGTTTTGGGTATGTGAAATGAACATAGAACTCATTCCTTTAGCATTAACAGAAATATTTGACGGAATGACTGCTAGTATACTGATTTAAGAATTTAGTGATTATATTTGAATGGTCAAAAGAGTACGAGGGGAATAGTTTAGTGGTTGTTGGACTTTTTAGATTTGTATTGAGAAATTTAGTGGATATGATTACCCTTAAATTTTGACACTTGATTTGTGTTTGGTTTATTTGTAAACTAAGAGCAAAATGCCATGAAATAACCAAGGGTATGTTGATTAATTAGTTGAGTGGTTAAATTGAGACGAGAAATAGTTTGGTAGCTACAAGTAGATGCCAGAAATAGTTTAGTGGTCGCCATTTTTTTTTTTTTGCCCAATAATAAAAGAGCAAAATTTGTTATGCAACGTGCATGGTGGTTCACACATGCAAGTCCTCCGTTAGCTCCCTTGATTTTCCTTGCAGATCCCAGAAAAAATATTCCTTATGGAAACGAGCTAAACAGTGTAAATTGAGTAAAACTATAACAATAAAGGATCAAAATAGTAATACTTCCAAATGGATAATGTCCAAACTCCTAGAAAAAGTGGTCAATCTTTATTATACGGAAGTTTGTCAAAATAGTCCCTCATATTTTTAATAAACACAGTTTCAGTCACTCACATTCAAAATCAATCAAAATAGTCTCTTAGATATTAAATAAAAATGCGCCCATTTGGTCTCAGAACTCACTTTTGATTAGTTTTCATGTCAAAAAGCGCACTGTGTCTTAGGTTCCCACAATTTCAATGGCAAAATGGGAACATTCATTTCACTTGAAAAAAAGAAAAAAAAAACTGATGACAATCATGATCACTTCTCTAGGAATCCTAATTCTTATCCACCAAACCCATAGTCGAACAAGAAAGCATAAAGGTCACTTGCAGGTTACTCTTTCATGTTTGATTATGAGGTTGGTGGATAAAAATTAGGATTCTCTATTCAAGAGGTGGTCATATGATTGTCTTGTGCTTTGTTTTTTTTTTTTTTTGGAAGAAAATAAATTGTGTTCCCATTTTGCCATCAAAATTGTGGGCACCTAAGAGGCGTGCACTTTTTGGCCAAAAAACTAATAAAAAATCAGCTCTGTGACCAAAAGGATGTATTTTTTATATATATTTAAGGGACTATTTTAGCTAATTCTAATTGTGAGGAACTAAAAAAGTTATTGAAAATGGAAGGGATCAATTTGACAATTTTTCCTTTATTATAATAGTATCTGCATGTGTAATATTAATGGGATCAGGGGCTTTATAAGTTTTATTTTCCACAAGTTTGCTCTTCGATGTAACTGGGTTGGAAAATGGTATAACAAAAGTTTAAATATATTGTAATTGATTTGAAATATAGTGCAATAAAATGTGAAATTACTAACTTATCCCGAAATCGAGTAAAGTACAACCCCAAATCTATGTTTTCAGAACCGGACCGGATAGCGACTCGGCCGAGTCAGGGGTCAGGGGTCAATGGGTTCGACCGGGGGTCGATAGGGGCGAACCGGATACGTCATAAATAAAAATTATTTAAAAATTAAAATATTATATATATAATATCTAATAATATATTGATATTAATAAAGGTATATTCATATATATTTGATGTTTCAAATATATTTAACAAGAAAATACAAAGAAATTAGAACAATCAAGTAGCAATTTATATTATTTAATAAATATTAACAAGTTTAGAATTAAAATTATGAATTTAATTGAAAAATAACATCAAATTTTAGGACAATATTTATAAAGTATCAAATATTTGAGGTATATCAATAAGTTTTAACAATTTAGGGGTCAAAACATAATATTAAAAAGTTTAAAATTGTTTTTACAAAATTTACTGTTGAACCGGAAAAAACCGATTTTTACCCGGTCAAACCCGATTTTTGACCGACTTTTAAATTTCGATTTTTTAATATGACTCGGACCGGCTACCTGGCCGGTTCCCGGTTCGACCGGCCGGTCCGGTCCGAGTTTCAAAACAGAGCCCCGAATACAAATCAGGGGCCTCTCTAGAACTAAACATGTAAATCTCATTTTAAAAAAATTATTAAATTGCAAAGATTGAAATGCACAAGAAAGACGTAATCTCAAAGAATCAAAAGTATTTGAATAAGATCATAATCCAAATCAAAGTGATCAACAAGCAGAATCATGTGATCAAGAGTGCCGCTATTACTTAAGAAACACTTCATTCTTTATTAATTAGAAAACACACTCAAATCTTTATCCACACGTGAATCACCAGTTATCTTTGATTATTTTCTGCAGGTATGAACTATGAGGTCAATTGGGTGTATCCACCATGTAAGAGGCAAATCAAAACTCAGAAGAAATGTAAGAATCTATATCCAGAAACCATTATTGCACATAACAAATTGTTTTATACGGAAACAGTACCCACCACATGCGAGCCAAGTTAGAGCTCAGAAGAAAACGTGGTTGCTGCGGAGTCAATCTCAAGAAAACAACGTTGCACCTAAGACATTATTTTATTTTTAGCAGAAAACCTTAATTATAAAAGTAAGTAGACGGACAATCATAGAGGTCCAGTGTCGACGCATCCAACGCTAGCTCATCAAATCTTTGGATTGCATTTTTTGCCAAAAACTTTTGTGAATTTTCGTGAGAATTCTTTTATTATATATTCTAATTACATTTTTACTTTACATACATCACATTTTAAGAACATTTAATATACTTTTTATATAAAAACTCTCAAATTTTGTCCTCAATTATGATTTACTCTTAAGTCTGTCATTATTGGTACCTTTCTTCAGCACAATGGCATAAAAAAGACAGTTATTAATCTAAGAAACAATTATTAAATTGTAAAAATTGAAAGGCACAAGAAAGACATAATCTGAAATAGTCAAAACTATTGGAAAAATATTGGGGTCCAAATCGAAGAGATCGACAACTAGAATCATGTGATCAAGAGGTGCAACTACCACTTAAGAGCAATGAATTCTTTGTCAACTCATGAATCACCCAGTTGCATTATTGATTATCTGTCGGTACGAATTCGATGTATCCGTCACATAGGATGCAAATCAAAGCTCAGAAGAAATGTAAGAATAACATCTAGAAACATTATTATGCATAATAAATTGTCTTATACAGCAAGTTAAATTCTATCTAGTTCAAATCAGTTTGTATAATTTTTAATACATTCGGTGTAAATTTGTATGGTTTTGATATAAGCATCAAAATAATTATAAAAAATGTGCTCCTTTAGTCCCAAAACTCACTTTCAATCAATTTTTAAGCCTAAAAGTGCACCTTCTCTCTGGTTCCCACAATTTCAACGGCAAAATTGAAACGCAATTTGTTTCTCTTAAATAAAAAATACATCACAATCACATAACCACACCTCTAGCAAAGGAACCTTAATTCATATCCACCAGATCCATAATCAAACAAGAAAGTGTAAAGGTCACCTGTAGTTTACTCTTTCTTCGATTATGAATTTGATGGATAATAATTACGATTTCCTATTCAGGAGGTGATCATATGATTGTCATGTGCTTTTTTTGGAAGAAAATAAATTGTTTTCCCATTTTGCTATTTAAATTGTGGGTACCTAAGAAAGGCACACACTTTTTGGCTAGAAGACCGATCAAAAAATGAGCTCGCGGACTAAAAGGATACTTTTCTTTTGTTATATTTGATGGACTATTTTGACTAATTCTAATTTTGATGGAGTAAAAAAAGCTTTTTTTCCGAAACTTTAAGGGACCAATTTGGCAATTTTCCTTTTAAAATATAATCTACATGTGTAATATTAATAGGAGAGGGGTTGATGGGGTCTCACAAGTTTTATTTCTCACAAGTTTGCCTTTTAATGTAACTGAGTTGGAAAATAGTGTGACAAAAGTTAAAATATGATTTGATTGAGTTGAAAAATGGTGTAATAAAATATGAAATTACTAAATACCCGAAATCGAGTAGAAATACAACTTGTCAGACCTCGAATCGAGATCAGGGGGCCTCTTCAGAACTAAACATGTAAATCCAATCTAAGAAACAATTATTAAATTGCAAAGATTGAAATGCACAAGAAAGACATAATCTAAAAGAATCAAAATCCAATCTAAGAAACAATGATGTAATAAAATATGAAATTACTACATACCCGAAATCGAGTACAAATACAATTTGTCAGGCCTCGAATCGAGATCAGGGGGCCTCTCCAGAACTAAACTTGTAAATCCAATCTAAGAAACAATTATTAAATTCCAAAGATTGAAATGCAAAAGAAAGACATAATCTAAAAGAATCAAAATCCAATCTTAGAAACAATGGTGTAATAAAATATGAAATTACTAAATATCTGTAATTGAGTAGAAATACAACTGGCCAGGTCTCGAATCCAGATCAAGGGGGCCTCTCCAGAACTAAACATGTAAATCCAATCTAAGAAACAATTATTAAATTGCAAAGATTGAAATGCACAAGAAAGACATAGTCTAACAGAATCAAAATCCAATCTAAGAAACAATTGTTAAATTACAAAGATTGAA